CCCCACTCTTGCCCTCCCACCTTTTGCAGCGGGGTCATGCACGATGATGTAGATCCAACGTCCACGTACTGTACTTTGGTAGCTGTCGGTGATCCATGTCTTTTGGGCATTCCTGCTTCGTATTTTGCGTCTTTTGATTGGGGGCAGCTTGCAGCATCACGTGTAGGACAACTGCTTTTCTTCTCCCCCCTCCGTCCTCCCCAGCTTCATTCTGATTTTTGTCGGCTGTTGTCGAATATGAGTCTGATGCAATCATGAATGCGTCTCATCCTCTTCACGACTACATCGTCTCTTCCAATGCCAGCTCCACTCTTATCTTCTATCTAAACGGGACGCAAATCGCTCTCCGCGATCCAAATCCTCAGTGGACGCTGCTGGACTTCATCCGAGCCCAAGATGGACTCACTGGAACGAAGCTGGGCTGTGGCGAGGGCGGCTGTGGTGCCTGTACAGTGGTGCTGCAGACACGACATCCTCGCAGCCGACGACTAGTCCATAGGGCAGTCAATGCCTGTCTGTATCCGCTGGTCGGAGGTAGGCGTACTCCAGCTTGATTTTCAACCATGGGTCGTACTGACCGTTCCATGGAATGCTGCAGTGGTAGGAAAGCATGTTATCACCGTCGAGGGCTTAGGAAATGTTGAACACCCGCATCCTTTGCAAGAGCGTCTGGCGAAGCTCCATGGCTCCCAGTAAGGCTGTTTCCGTATTTTTTTTGGCTATGATCTAATCATTGCAGGTGCGGGTTCTGTACCCCCGGCATCGTTATGTCACTATATGCTGTTATCCGCAACGCATACGACCCGCAGACCGGTACCTTCCTGCTGTCCGAAGATGATATTGAAATGAAAGGCCATCTCGATGGAAATCTGTGTCGGTGTACTGGATACAAACCAATTCTTCAGGCGGCCAAGACATTTGTTCGTGAGGACCTCCAGGCGCGCCTGCAGTCTGTGGTTTCCACTACCACGGATAAGACAGACGACACCGTCGATTTGCCGGTACTTCCGGCCCAATCATGCGGGCGACCTGGCGGATGTTGTCGCGATAGCCCTTCATCGTCCTCATGCTCATCGAGCTCAGATAAGGCCAATTCGTCTCCGTTGACCACGCCGGAGGAGAAAACTCCAGCAATTCCACAATTTGACTTCATTCCGTATGTGCCACAAACAGAGCTGATCTACCCTCCTGGTCTGGCGAAGTTTACCCCTCAGTTGCTATATTATGCAGATGATCGGAGAATATGGCTTCGTCCGGTCACTCTTCAGCAGACTGTAGATCTCTTGGCGCGCTTTCCATCTGCCACGCTAGTTGGCGGTGCTTCGGAGGTTCAGATTGATGTTCGCTTCAAAAACCTTGCGGCCGACGTATCGATCTTTATCGGAGACATCGAAGAGCTAGCTCAAATCAACCTGGTTGAACACGACAGTGGTGCAAAGGAGCTGATAATTGGTGGGAATACTTCTCTCACTGATGTGGAGGAAGAATGCCAGCGCCTTGCTCCTATTCTGGGTTCTTCCGGCTCAGTACTATCGGCCATGGCTAAGGTGCTCCGGTACTTTGCTGGGCGACAGATTCGCAACGCAGCCTCACTAGCGGGAAACATTGCGACGGCCTCTCCCATCTCAGACATGAACCCGCTACTTCTCGCAGTGAACGCCACAGTTGTTGTGCGCGGCCATGAGGAGGAACAAGCCCTGGCCATGGAGAAAATGTTTCTGGGATATCGCAAGACCGCTTTGCCAAAGGGCAGCCTAATCACTGAAATCCGCATTCCGCTGCCGTCTTCGGGGTGTCGCGAGATCACGAAATCATACAAGCAAGCCAAGCGAAAAGATGATGACATCGCTATCGTGACTGCCGCCTTCCGCGTCCGTTTGGCGAGCGACAACACGGTTGAAAATGCTTCTCTCGCGTACGGCGGGATGGCACCGACCACCGTGCTTGCCCACAGAGCTAGTGCTACCCTCAAGGGCAAAAAATGGGGAACGCAGGCCGTTCTTGATGCGACGGTGGATGCGCTTCTCGCGGACTTTGATCTTGTATTCAGCGTTCCGGGTGGGATGGCAACTTACCGCCGGACACTGGCTGTTTCATTCTTCTTCCGCTTCTGGCATGAAGTTATAGCAGAATATCAACTCGCCGCTCCTACGCCCTCCGATCTGACAGACGAGATCCACCGCAAGATCTCTTCCGGGACTCGAGATGATATCAATCCGCACGAGCAACGAGTGGTGGGGAAGGCACTGCCTCACCTCTCCGGGCTCAAACATACCACAGGCGAGGCAGAATATCTCGATGATATGCCGCCCCATCACCGACAACTATTCGGAGCATTGATTCTCTCGCAACGTGCGCATGCCAAACTTGTATCCGTCGACTGGACACCTGCTCTTGTGCAAGGACTAGCGACCGGCTACATCGATCACACGAGCATCCCGATCGAGAAGAACCTTTGGGGATCAATTGTGCACGATGAACCTTTCTTTGCGATCGATGAGGTACTGTCGCACGGCCAGCCTATCGGGATGGTGTACGCCGAGACGGCTATCCAGGCCCAGGCAGCTGCGAAAGCCGTAAAGATCGAATATGAAGATCTTCCGGCTATTCTCACCATCGATGATGCAATCACAGCGAATTCCTTCTTCCCACATGGCAAAGAACTGCGCAAAGGTGCGCCGCCGGCGGAAATGGACGCAGTATTCCGCAGATGCGACAGAACCTTTTCGGGTGTAACACGGATAGGCGGACAGGAGCATTTCTACCTTGAGACGAATGCCGCCATGGCGATCCCAAGTACGGAAGATGGTGGAATGGAAATCTGGTCATCAACGCAGAACACGTATGCTTTCCAGCCCACACCATTGCGCAAACTGTCCGCTGAGCATGCTAACGTTTCTGTAGTATGGAAACTCAAGACTTCGTCAGTCAAGTAACAGGAGTTCCCGCTAACCGCATCAACGCACGAGTCAAACGGATGGGTGGCGCTTTTGGAGGCAAAGAATCGCGAAGCGTGCAGCTAGCTTGTCTGGTAGCCATCGCAGCCAAGAAAGCCCGCCGACCGGTGCGTGCGATGCTTCCCCGAGATGAGGACATGATGACTACCGGACAGCGACATCCGGTTCAGTGTCGCTGGAAGGTTGGTGTCACCAATGAAGGAAAGCTTATCGCGTTATCTGCCGACTGTTACAACAATGCAGGCTGGTCCACTGACATGAGCGGGGCGGTGATGGACCGCTGCTGTACGCATTTGGACAACTGCTATGAGATCCCGAATGTGCATATCCGGGGATGGGTGTGTCGAACCAATACCCATAGCAATACGGCCTTCCGTGGGTTCGGTGCTCCTCAGAGCATGTTCTTCACCGAGACGATCATGAACGCGATAGCTGAGGGGCTAGAAATCCCCGTGGATGAGCTGCGGAGACGTAATCTGTACACGATCGGGCAGCGGACACCATTCCTACAGCAGATTGACGAAGATTGGCATGTGCCGATGCTGTTAGAACAGGTGCGCAAAGAGGCTAGATATGACGAGCGGAGAGAGCAAATCAGAAAGTTCAATGCCACACATCGCTGGCGCAAACGGGGTATCTGCTTGATCCCTAGCAAGTTCGGTATATCGTTCGCCACAGCCTTGCATCTGAATCAAGCTGCTGCATCGGTCAAGATCTACACAGATGGATCAGTACTGCTTAACCACGGTGGAACAGAGATGGGTCAAGGGCTGTACACGAAGATGGCCCAAGTTGCGGCGCAGGCGCTGGGGGTCCCATTCGAAAGTGTGTTTACGCAAGACACCTCCTCCTACCAGACAGCCAATGCCTCACCAACAGCCGCGTCCTCTGGCAGCGATCTGAATGGAATGGCAATTCAAGACGCCTGCGACCAGTTGAACGAACGGCTGAAGCCGTACCGAGAGCGACTCGGTCCTGACGCGACGATGGCGCAGATGGCGCACGCAGCGTATCGCGACCGAGTCAACTTAGCGGCCAGCGGATTCTGGAAGATGCCTAAAATCGGGTATCAGTGGGGAAATTACGATGTTGCGACTGTGAAGCCAATGTACTACTATTTCACGCAGGGTGTAGCATGCACTGAAGTCGAGTTGGACCTGCTAACGGGCGATCACACGGTGCTGCGGACGGACATCAAAATGGATGTTGGACGCTCGATCAATCCGGCCATCGACTATGGACAAATCGAGGGGGCGTTCGTGCAGGGTCAAGGTCTCTTCACTATGGAAGAGAGTTTGTGGAGCCGCAGTGGGCAGCTGGCGACGCGAGGCCCCGGGACGTACAAGATCCCTGGCTTCAGTGACATCCCGCAGGAGTTCAATGTGAGTTTCTTGCAGGGTGTGTCGTGGTCCCACCTGCGGTCGATTCAGTCAAGCAAGGGCATTGGAGAACCGCCTCTGTTCTTGGGGTCGACCGTATTGTTTGCGCTCCGCGATGCCTTGCGCAGTGCCCGCGAGCAGAATGGAGTGCAGGCAGCATTGGCGCTCGATAGCCCGGCCACAGCGGAGAGGCTGCGATTGTTGGTGGGAGATGACTTGGTGAAGAAGAGCCAGGTCGAGGCGAAAGAGGGGGAGACAAACTTTTTCGTTGCGGTCGCGTAGTGTGTAAAGACCATGTAGTCGATTCGATCTGTGTGATTAGCATCGATATGGTTAGCATAGTAGGACAGGCAGATCATGGTATATCGGCGACTGGACAGGCCTTTATCGTACGTGAATCTTGAAACCGAGAACCTCTGTACATACCGCGGGGTTTATCATTGAGATAGAAGAGATCGTTTCGAAATCGATTTGTTGATCTTGTTGTTGATGAGGAGAACTTACCGACTTGGTGGAGGGTATTCGAATGGCCATAGCATCACGTGGCCAGACTTCATGGCAGGCGATAATTCACTTGTGGTGCAAACGTGATGAGAGAATGCGGTACAACAGAAGAAAGACCCCACCCTGGGATTGTACTGTATCTGCAGCCTCGTAGCACCCGGACCACAATCCACAATCACAAATAACTCACGGATGGCCGGTCGGGCCCAACTTACTGCGGCAATGGCTGCCACCGGCTCTTGGACCCCTGGCAAAACCTGGGAAAAGCATTGCTTCACAAATCTCGGCTAGTTTCTCTCTTTTCTCACAACTCTCCTGACTAGAACAGACTAGATGGAAGCTATTTGCGGGTGCGGCTTCATTGCCAGCGCAATTCCGGTCAATCCAACCGACGGTTGACTGAGATGAGCCATCCTTATTGGTCAACGAGGAGGAGTGTCGATAGAAAGACCTAAAAAAGGGTCCACACTGGGTCGCTTGAACTATTTGATCTCCTGAGTTCCCCCTCTGGCAAGAAATTGAAGATAATCAGATCTCTTCATCCCACTGACAATTGTCTCTTCGCAAGATGGTCCGACTCTTGAGCTCGACCTTGGTTCTCCTCGCTGCACTGCAGGTGAGTGGAGCCAGTCCATCGGTTGTGACCCTCACATCGAGCTATACCAGCACCGCGGTAACGACTATCACCACCTCCATCCCAAGTGTCTCCATCACCAGCACTTGCACCTGGGGTACTGTCGCTCCGACGGGTTGTGCCAATACCATCTGGTATGATGCAGGAAACTACTGGTCGGCCACGTGCACTACCTCCGCCTACAGTGCCAGTACCACCAAGATGACCTACTCCTGGGTCAGCGTGGACGCGTGCACCGATGCGTGCACCCACTACAGCAACTGCGCGGGCGTCAACTGGGATGACAGCGAAACCTGCCGGATCCTTGCCGGGTCACTGGAATTGGTGCCAGCCTCAAGCAGTGTTTTGGCCGTCGAGCTCTTTCTTTTCGACCCCTGTACTTCGCGAGTGACCTCGTATGTCCCGGAGACTTTGACTCGCACCTCGACTTCAGAGTATACATCTTTGATCGTCTCCACCCTCACTCCCACTCCCACTCCCACTTCGACTCGGGGTGACACCCCGACGCCTACCCCATCGACGTCGGTGCATCTCATACACTCTGCGTCGAGTGCTCCGGTTCTGTTCCCGCCCACATCAGGGCGTTCGAGCTCCTCAGCTCCCGCCACCCTTTTACAGTCATCCGGAAGCCCTTTGGCGATCTCGTCATCCATTGTCAGCACCAGATCGCCCGCCACCGTCTCCCCTATGACCAGCGCTGCACCCGCACCATCCAGCGCGCCGGAGGAGGTTGAAACTCTGTATTCTACCATTTACACCACCGAATTGGTGACTTTCTTCACGGAGTGTGCGTTCTAATCGACATTCAATGATTGTACATCAACATCCTCTGAATCGGCATCGATGGAGGCATGAGATTAGGACGTTGGGCATCGATGATGGACTCGGTGGGCTCGAGCTCGAAGAAAGGCGCTCAAAGATCGCATCGTGTAATATCGCTTCGGTTGCTTGATATATGGTTCTGAGACCAAGCAGCCTCGGTTAGCCTTCGCTCAACAAGAAATGCTCAAGGAAATTGAAAAATACCCAACCGCCACCGAAGTTGGCACGGAGATTGCGGAACAGAACGCACTGGCGGCAGCGATCTGCAAGACCTCAAAATATCGTCTGCACAAGCTCCACTGCACACGCATAACTTTAGTGTATCGTAGTCTAAACGATCCGCGAGGTTTATCACTCGAAATTCGCCCGGTGGTTTCGTTTCACGAAGAGCATACTAGATCGAGAGAACTGTAGTCGATGGAGAATTAGCAACGCGTTATTCGCATGTGAACAAGAACTTGCCTTCCTGATCCCATCTGCCATTTTTCTCCTGTCTTCGAACAATACTCGATGCCGCAAACTATAATCAAACCCCGCCTATCTCAAAAGCGAGGCTGGATAATTGAACTATTGGCAAACATTGGATCAGTATTGGGCGTCATCTCGTCATGAGTGCAAGGAAGCCTTACCCTGATAATTTCTCGTATCATCCGGTCTTCCCAATAGCATTTGTCGCATTTAGCCCGGGTCTTTCTTCGCCCCAAAGCCTTCACTACGTTCACCCACGACCTTTGCCTTTCGTGCTCTGATTGCCTGCAGACTGTTGTCAATCTTAGCGACTCTTTTCAAGCACTGATGAAATGCTTGCATTGACTGAATTGCTTGGAAGATGTTATTACCCCATTTGTATTTTTTGTCAAGGACGTGGATGATGGATGAATTCAGACTACATGAGACTATCCGACTGAGAAAACCATTAACGTGCGTGGCGGGCGGTGAGCGGCCTGAGGCATAAGGCCCGAGACCGGCCGGCATCTTTCGTCTTCCTGGCACCATCATACAGACCTTTGCGACATTTGAGACAGGATAGTCTTGCCACTCCATTATGGACAGTGAGTATCCACCTCTCCAGGCGAGTTACCTTGCATTCTTCACATTCGAAATCGGGCAAATCTGTAATCTGCCTCCAGACCATAGGCAGTAAACGATGCTTTCGTTTCTCCAGCATAGCCCTGTATCCGCCGGCCTGTGCGAATCCGGGTTTAAATCTTCTTCTAACGCGTCGGCCGTGCCACTCATCGCCAATATTCGATGAAAAACCCACTGAAGTCGAAGTAATTTCATTAATGGCAAAGGAAGATTCACCGGGTTGGTCGTATTCAAAGTGAGAATATCGCCAGACTGTAGCTTTGTGTCTGATTCTAGGTTGTATAGCTTTGCGTATAGAACACGGTACTTGGTGCTAGATGTTAGATCAGGGCTAATAGGCGATGGACAACAATTCCAAACGTCATGTTATATCGTAGGCCATTCCTTGCACTCTTGTTTGAGTCATGATGTGCTGGATCCCAACCACAATGCACACACGCGGTCGTCTTTTGCTTCATTTGACTGACTTTTGCTTTTTTCTGATGGGCAACCATTTTACCCGAGCTGTGATTATCCCAATAAGGGAAACAGCTTTTGCACCACATCTTGGACTTCTCATCTGGCTCGAGTGGGTTCCAGTAGATCTGAACACTCTCCGGGATTGCCTTGCTACATTTGGAACAACGTCTGTCGACCTTGGGCTTGACCTTGGGCATTCCAAATGATCCGTCCGCCCGCCAATTCGGTGGTGGCAGTTCATTATCTCGATTACATCGACCCATGCATCCTAGACAAATATACTCACCTTCGTGACCCTCTTGAGGGTGTGCTGTGAAGGACCTCTTGGTAATTTCGTGTCCATCATTGATACATTTGGACCTCCCTTCCTTGTCAATGCGTTTTGCCTTCGCTTCTTGCTCCCGGAAATCTGGGAGAGGAAGGCACCCATTCTTTTTGTATCGATAGTCACAGCTGCCGCACATCTTTTCGAATATATGCCCTGGCAGTGGGCACGGCAAGATGTTCCATACACCTAGCGGCCACCGACAGTTTGCACAATGCGTTGCCCAACGGCGTCCGCGTAGAGGCTGAGAGATAGGTAATGCCCTGTTAAGACGCTCATGGGCACTTGAGATGGTAAATTCCCCTAGATCAGCAGCAAACCTCTTCATACTAGAGCCATGGAAATCACTGGGGTAAACGTAGGGAGGTTCAAAACTTTCCGCCATCACAGTCGTGGTGTTCTCGAGTAAGATTATCATCCAATTCGCATCTTCGATGTTTATTTCCGGATCCGTGGATTTTGGAAGCCGGGCAACTAGCCGAAAGTTTGGTTGTCGATCAGGTCTCGCACGATTATACATATAATCTATAGCCTTCTCCTTTCCAGCTCGAACCAAACCTCGGTGTGACGATATTCGTTTATGAGCACCTTCTGGCCGCGTGTGCGTGTGCTCCTTTCTTTCCACCCACGTCTTCGGAACTGACACTGCAGACCTAATGTAAAGGCCATTGTCTTCCTTAACCTAGGTATTCGTGACAAGGTTTTCCAGATAAACTCCTCTAAGCTGATCCTCCTTCATGATAATTGGCAGAAGAAGCACTTCATTTCGAGTTAGTTCTGTACCGGCAAATATTGTCCGTACCACTGGACTAATTGCCCGTTCAATCTTATTGATCACTTCGTCGATCTTCACTTCCGATGTGTCAGCTAAGGTAGACCACATTTTCTTCCGGGGTTTGGCGTGCTAGAGTCCAGATATGTCTGATAATGCCCTCGAGTCGGTATCTAAATATGGTCTGTTATGCCTCGACATCATCCAGTTCTAGGTTAAGCACTCGATAGACATATTTCTCATGGGATTCATTGGGACGACGTAGGGGAAACTCATCCGTGTCCAGCAGCTCACTTTCAATATTCTCTATCTCCAGTCCCTCCTCTGCCTCTCGTCTTCCAGGTCTTGGTGGTGAAGAGGACCAGTCGAAAAATTCTTCTTCGTCATTCGCCACATCTTCAACGATTGACTTACTCACCTGTGCCTCATTGACATCTCGCTTCATCCAATCAGGACGGAATAATTCAGCGTATCTGGATCGCGGACGTGGCTTGCTGGGAATCATGAACCCCCAATCCCAATTTTCCTGGTCTTCAGGGTAGGAAGAATCATACGGCACATGCATTGGTTCGCTTTTACCATGGTCTCGCGTAGGGCTGACTTGGGGTCTCTCGCTTATACCTGCCGATCTTCCAATAGCTTGGTTGATTACCTCGTTGCGGTCAGTCAGAACAGCACGAGGCTGAGCAGCGGATGGAGCGCGTGTCTCAATCTGAAACATCTTATCAATCTGTTGGAGACCTCTATCCACTAGCTGGGCTTTTTTCTGATAGGCTTTGCCTTATTGGTACGTTTGTTGACTCCGGAACGGGGCAGGTGGGCGTCTATTCAGTGGGTTTGTGGTCGACCCGTTCCCCAAGGTCACCTTATCATCGGCACGGTGCCAGGGATGGCGTACTATGCTCGCGCCATCGGTCTGATTTCCGTGCTACCGGAGCGACCTACCATCATTCACATCGAGGCTCTTCTGATCTTGGTAACCTCGTCTCCGTGGGTATTCTGTCATTATGTGCTGACTCCTCCAGGCCCTCTATAGCCAGTCCCTTAACCGACAGCACTCCGCCTACCTCATGGTCGGCAACGCCTTGCGCTTCGCACTCCTCGTCGGTCTGAACCACAACATCCCGGACACCCAATGCCCCGGTCGGATTGCGCGAGAACATCGTGTGCGTTTGTGGTGGACAATCTACGTCTTTGATCGGTCCTGGAGCCTGAAATTAGGCCTGCCAGTGCAATTCAACGATGAAGCCATCCACGTTGACCTGCCCACGAACCTCGACTCCGACAATTACCACAACGAGCTCGTGGACAGCTCATACCAAGCCGCTTTCGTCAGACTCGCCAGAATCTCCAGCACAATCATGCGCACGATCTACAGCCGTAGCAACTTCACCGAGACGTTCCTCCAGCGGGAGCAAAGGATCCTCCTTGACCTGCAGGAGTGGACACAGTCCCTACCCAACCACCTCCACCTCCATACCACCAGGCACAATTCCAAATGCACCATTCTCGTCCATCTCCAATTCAACTACGTAGGAACCTGTTCCTCCCCATCTCCCGTTCCAACCGAAAGCTGACCCATTTAACACAGTGCGTCATCCTGGCCATCCGCCCAATCCTCCTCACCCTCCTCAATCATCTCTCGCCAAACCTGACCCCCAACGAGCCCGCTATCCCTGCAACCCTCGCCGCTCTCAAAGACGCATGCATCCATTCCGCCCGCCACACTGTGACCCTCTGCACGAACGAATGGACGAACGGCGCCTCCTCAACCTACGGCTACGCCTTCGCCCAGTACATCTTCACTGCCGCCCTGAGTCTGCTCATCTCAAGTCTGCTACCAGGTGGCACAGCGGAGGACCTCACGTCCGTGGAGACCGTCATTGAGATGCTGAAATCCTTGGTCGCGAACGGTAGTCTCGTCGCAGATGACTTGTTCCACCATCTTGTGCGGGCACAGCACTGTCTGCGGAGCGGACGGTTCGCATCATGGGTGGCGAAGCAGCAGAGGTTGTCGCTGTCCGTCGCCTCCCCTTCGGCACAATCTCCATTTCCGGCAGTGCTTTGGTCCAAGGGACAGGCTGATAATCTCCCGAGCACGAGTCAATTCGGTGCTGGAGGCGCAGCGGCAGAGTCCGCTTACATGGTGCTAGATCAGCCGCTCATGCAGGATTTCCTGACACAGGATGTCGAGGAGTTTGGGTTCTTTGATGCGGGGGTTATGGCCGAGGTGGGAACGGATCTCTGGCCTGGTTTGCCACTGTGGGCTGCTTGGTAACTTCCTATCAGGTCTCTTTAAGATTGGATGCATAAAAATCTGGAGGTCGAGAGATGGGTGTTTTAACGCGCTCCGCCTCGCAACTGTATCTAAAGTTGAAGTCAACAAAATAAAGCTTGTCGGTCCCAAATATAGATTGTGCCTGAAAGGTTTATTCATCTAACCAAGAATAACTCAAAAGAAAGCATTAGACAAGACTCTATCTAGCCAAAAATGATAAAGAAATCTGTAGTCTATCATCGATCACATTTGCAGGCGGTGGCCGCGGTACTTCCGCGGCTCGTGAGAGAAAGTGCTGACATCAGCATCGGTGCGCTCAGGGAAGCCCTCGAACGACAGCGCGTATGTGGCAATAGAATGCGCCACGAGCTAAAGTGTGTTAGTCATGATTCAGCACTGCTAATCGAGGAAGGATACGTACTTTGGTGTTAACCTCCCAAGCTGTAAGGTTGACGTTCGAGACGTCATCTCCAATTTGATGATAGTTGGGATCGTACCACTCTCCGGCTTTACCACCAAACATCTCTTCCTCTTCCTTGGTCTTAACACCTTCTGCGCCGGTGGCGACACCGCCTCCGGGAATGCCATTGCGAATAAAGGCGTCGTAGTCGCTGCGGCCGTCGAAGGGGATGTAGGTGTAGTTGAGGTCGTGGGCCTCGTAGAAATCAACGTACAGGTTGCGGAGCTCCTCCGAGCCCACCGGATTGACGGCGTTAGTGGCGTTGTAGACTTGGTACGCGAAATTTGGCCCTGCCAGCATATCATAATCTTGGAACTGGCGTATTTTGCGATTCTCCTCCGGAGTCAGCTGGCTCACATAGTAATCACTACCCAGGAGACCTTCTTCTTCTCCAGCCCACCAAGCAAGGCGCACGCAGTTGTTGACGCTGAACTGGGTGAGTTTTGTTGCCAGTTCCAAGAGAGTCAGAGTACCAGAGCCGTCGTCATTGATACCCGGACCTTCGGCTACACTGTCAGTGTGGGCTCCAGCCATGACACAATTATCCTGATCTCCTTCGACAGTCTGTGCGATAATGTTTGTAGTGATGATTGTCTCCACAATGCCATCAATGTAGGCAATGCCATCCACCTTCTCGCCCTTCTTCAGCTGCTCCAGGACAGGTGCCGCATCACTGTCTGAGATGCCGAAAGTGGCAACATGGTCTGGGGTGGGAGTGCCAAGAGTTCCAGATAGATCGCCCTTCTCGTTATTGTACACCACTGCCGCAATGGCGCCTGCTTTGCCAGCCAGGTCGGACTTGGTTCCGAATGGACAAGTGCCCCGAGAAATAAATGCAATGGCACCAGAAAGATTGCCGGGGTAGTCGGAGAACTCGCATCCATGATTGGCGACTGCCACCAATGGACCGTAGACAGGCTCCCTGTCTTTTGTGGGAGGCGTCAGCCCCATTGGGGTAGCTGAGGAGGGCACCGTGTGGCCGAGGACGAGGCGCGACTCGAAGACATTTCCGGTAACCGCGGGAAAGGATTGATTGGTGATGGTGTAGTAGTCGCCGAGCTCGACAAGGGTGGAGTAGATGTAATCTAAGGTTCCGAGGTGACCTAGCAGATTGAAGGTTAGGAGGTGAGTCACGGCGCAGCGGAGATGAGTGAGGCGCGCACCTTTGCTGCCAATGACACGGGTTGGGTGCTGATATTCCTCCTCGCTGAGCTTTGCAATCTCGTAGAGCTCCTCGGCTCTTTTGAGGAGGTTGTCGGCTTTGACTTCTTTCTGCAGCAGCTCAGAGTCGATGAGCTGCTTGCTCGATGTAGAGAGCTCGGATTGCGATGAAGCAGCTTGGAACAAGGGCAACTGAAGAGCTCCGGCCGGCCCAAGAAGGGCGGGGAGGAAAGAGAGCTTCATGGTGAAGCTTAAGTCGATGTTTAATGTAGGATTCAGGTCGGTTGGACAAAGAGTGAGTGACTTAAGTGGAAGAGGAAGAGACAGGGTGCCGAGGAGGTTGGGGACAAACAAGCTGGGGGATGGTCAGCTGATAAGCGATAAGATAAGCCCCGTGACCTCCCGATCGGGCATTTGCGGACTTTCTCGATTGGGATTAGCTCGTCGCCTCATGACAATAGCAGCTCATAATAGGTGGATCCTCAATGATGACATCCAATGCAGCAGCACACCTTTTGCCCTGCCGCCATTGATGAGCACGCTCGCGACTTTTGTTATGACTTCGAAATCGGAATCTAACCAGACCCAGAGATCCAATCGCCTTTTGGCACGGACCGATACTCCGAGCACTTCATGCACGTCATTATCACAGTGTCACATCCGCCTACACTAGTATATATTCGTACCAGCCGCGGTCGCACAAAGTGTCGGTCCTGACAATGACATGGGTGAACCTTGTTCTATTTAGAACCGATCGCAATGCCGCTCTCATATGACCCGTCGATTAGATCGGTTCATCTCCCATTCTCAACGCGTCCGCCATCAATGGAGTTAAGCGCCCAACTCGGCGGCAACATGATCGGCTGGCCGAAGATGAGCCCCTCCGAATTGCAGGTGTCGCTGCCACTGACATCCTCCCTTGAGTTGAGATCAGGGCCGCTGGATTTTCTCTCATCCACTGGCCCTCTACTGTGTAGCATGCTAGGAACGTAACTCCTGGAACACTCATCAAGATAGCTTTCACTTGAAGTAAGGAGCCCCCTGCAAGGATGAGATGCACAAGATAGTAGATACAAAATGGGGTGATGCTCAGATGAGCTCAAGGGCAGTATGCACAAGCGGTCCGAACTTGCATCTTTCACTTGGCATCTTCTTGGAGCTTCCAACTCTATTACAACATGCCCATCTCGCCCACTCTCGAAATCGACTGATTACGCCCGGGACAACTCTGGGCGCCAGATAACCCGGCAGCAAGTGCGCTTGTCTGCAGTCTCTGGTTGTGTCGGGCCTAAAATAGTTTCAGGGGCCAACAGCCAGGTGATACAGCTCGGGGACCCCTATCAATCGGCCGAGAGCTCGACAGTCGCTCTCCATTCTTCAAAAAAGTCGCCACTCCAGTGTCTTACTACTGACTTCCACAGTTCTTTACATTGTCGCATGATATATAATGTACACAGATCCCGCAACCGCTCGCAGAGCTCAAGTGTTATTCGATATAGTCACGCCAGCATATCCTAAAAATACAACCCCATCTCATGGCCCCACTTTTAAATATCATAGGTGTGGGCCTGGACGTTGATCGTCTCGACGGTGAAGGTCTTGGAGTCGGAGGTCTTAAGACCGGTGGAGGTGACCTCGTTGGTGGCCAGGGTGCCGGCGAAGGTGCTGTCCGCGGCGTTCAGGACGATCGTGGTGTCGATGTACTCTGTTCTCATGGTTAGATGTCTTCCGGGAAGGGCGGGAGCAAAGGGCTGGGGGGACTCACGGTGAGCGCGAGCAGTGCTCTTGCAGGCATCGTCCTGGCATTCGACGGCGGTGCCCCAGCCTTGAGCTTGGCCGGAGCCTGTGAAGTGTTAGCATTGGCAACTGGGGAGAAATGGTTGAGGAACGTACTGGTCGACAGAGTCGAGACGACCTTGCCGTTAAGAGAGACGGTCTGATCGTACTTGGAGGTGGAATCGTTGTACTTGTCTGAGAATTGTCAATGGCTATCGTGCAGGGAACGAAGAGGTGAACGTACATTCCATGGTCACCTTGTCACCGGCATTGGCCGGAACTTGGGTGCCACCAAGCTGCGTGTCTGCTCATCGTTAGAGCTCTCTCGATCATAACCTCGGGAAGACTTACCCTCGAGGGTGCTGGCCCAGATGCACCACTGGCCGGAGGTACCGCCGCAGTTGCTAGATGCCGTCAGTATTGTGTCCAATGGTTTGGCCAGGATTAACCGGTCTCTATAACGTACGCATTGGGGTCGGAGAAAGAAACAGCAAGCGCCTGGATCAGATCACCGCCGCTGGTGCCCATGCCGGGCCACAGGGCGAGACGGTCCGCGACGGGGCTGGGAACTTCGGGGAGCACAAGAGTGGTCGTGGCCTCGCGGATCCAGCTCTGAGTAGGACCCAGGCTGAAGTAGGGACCGAAGCCAACGGTAGACTGAGCGTTGGCCAGGCCGAGGACGGCGAGGGCAGCGAGGGTTTCGAGACGAAGCATTGTGACGAGAGGTGAGTAGGATGATTTGAGGTGGTGGCTGGCAGGGTTGCACGAGGTTACTGAGCGATTAAAACGAGCGACAGACAACAGGCTTTATAGGATGATGTCGCTCGACAGCTGTAGGAGTTCTAGAATGAAAGGGGCCACATCCACCACGGAGATTAGTCCGAGAACGGCTCTTCATGGCCATACGTGGGATGAATATGTTTCGAGTTCACAACGTCCCGCACTAAAAACAGTACAGGAGAGAGTCAGAGGATGTTTCAGGACAAGACGGAGTCCGCCCTACCGGGAGAATACAGCAACAGCAGTAGGGTGCTGGTCCCTTGTGGAGAAGAAGTGGTCTGAGCAAGGCCTCTAGTTTCAATCCGACACGTTTGCTCCACCCCGGTTTCAAGCCAAGCCCCTGAGCCGTGGATCACTGCTGTTTTGGGTGGGATGTAAAAGAGTGCAAAAGCTGCAGAAGAGCATGAGAGAAGACAGCTCACCTGATCGCCCCCAAGTGTAGGAAGGAACATGGTTCATGTGTGAGGCGCTGTTCATCGTAAGTATGCGAGTTGGAGAAAGGTATGGAGAGCATCAGCGGAAGTGGTTCGGCACTCACTGCCACTTACCGAAAGCTTGGCTTTGCCGTACTTGTCAACGATTCGCAAATGAATACATCCAGCCGAATGGCAGAATAGCCTGAGACCTTGAGTATATTACTATGTTTAATTCTTATTACGGTCACGGTGTAAACCGATCCCCTGACCACTCTTTCTTGCTCATGCAGAATCAACGCCCCCTTGATCAGGTTAGTCCCAATATACAATCTCCGCGGGCTATGCGGCAATTACTCCGCATCTAGAATGGACACGGTATGGAATAATTCCTCTCTTCTATATCTCCGTCTCGTAAGAGCCTGGATGGTGATCATGTTTGCTCAATCTGTAACTGGAGCCTGACTCCGGTTAGAGCCAGATTCCTGACCGCCAAGCTTTAATCAGTGGAAACTCTATTCAATGTGAAGCGCAGAGAGATTATGACCCATCACAGGTAAAGACATACATTCGAGACCACTCATGTTCCATTCCATTGATGATTATGACCAGACAAAGTGGCCATGCGGCGATTGTCTTTATCATTGCCCCACAACACTCGCGCAACGCAAACCCAGGCATGGCTGCAAGTTGAATATCGTGAAAGTTTTCCCATCGTTATGAAATGAAACGATTACCCCTTTCGTGGAGATACTTGGAGACAATCGATGTTGGTGCAGCAATTCTGCCTCGAAGCCTGAGCATCAACATCTTCCTGCCGATGTGATCCAAACTTGAGAGGCGGAAAAGTGAGAATGAAGACATAGAGAACGGCTTATTGGCTACATGTAGAGCTTACCCAGACATCGGCTGACCCGCAATTGCAAGAGACTAGATTTATACGCAGAATTAGTATCAAGGCGACCCGCTTCGACGAGAAGAGGAAGCTTCCAAGGCCTGCATTGGGACTGAGAAGAGTGGTATGAATCTTCTATTTTGTGGGCGCCTTAAGCCCCGAGACAGTTGGCAGACAAGATCCTGAAGTGCTCGCTCGGTCGCAAGCATCTACCAAGACTATGATTGGGAAGAGAAATATATGAGTTTGAGAAGCAGTGAGTGTATGGGTCGGGAAGGGGCAGATGCGGGCCCGCCCTGATGGTCTCCTAAAGCGGGCGCCCTACTGAGAGCATGCACGACATTTCTCCATAGCTAAACTCCTATCTTTCAAGTTGATACAGAGCATACAATGACAGAAGTAAGCTGCATTGATAGGGAAAGGGTGGAATAGAATACAAACAGCATTTATATCGTTAAATTTAAGTCTGGCAAGATTTTAACAAAGTGATAATAGTTCGACTTTCACAAACCTTATACTGCTACTGCAAAAGCCCTCTCATGCCACATAGTACGCTAGCTCTATGAACAACACATGTTCTAATACTCGAAGTGCAAGTTGATATAACTCCACGGATCAACTATGATAATGTATATATGTACAACCACCTATCTCTTTAATCAAACACGGCATCCACTGCCTTACGAAGATACTTCGTCGGCCCCTTCCGCTCTGTCTTGGTCTCGACATCGTGCCCATCCACGTAGAACCGTCTCGGGGCGTCGAGGTCAATCGTGCGAGCATCCACCCACCACGGCCCGCGGTAGTAGCATCGCGCCGCCAGGTACAGGACCACGATAGCCACGACAGAGACGTAGTTGGCGAAGAAGTTCTTCGCGCTGGGGCTTTCTCCGAGAGGCCATACACTCAGGTAGAATTCCGCGATGATGAGGATGATGCACCAAACAAGTCCCCAGATGGCGCCGTAGGGGTATGTCCACGACTTCCAGGGGAGATCCTCTACCGATCGACCCTGGACCTTCCAGGCGTAGCGCATGCGGAGGTGCGACAGACATATCGTGCCCCAGCCAAAAAGGGTGAAGAGGGAAGTCAGGTTTGAGAACCAGGTGAAGACGTTGGCGCCAGAGTTAGAGACGTTGAGGTAAGCGAGACCACCTCCAATGAGGAGGGTTATGGCCATTCCTGCAATCGGGCGGCCTTGCTTGTCGGCCTTGCCGAAGATCTGACCGGGCGGAGCAGATGATCATATTAGTCGCTAGCGCTGCAATGTAGGAGGAAAGGAATGAGAGGCACTAACCTTGGGAGCCATATTCAGGTGTGTCAAGCCCATCAAAGTACGCGAGCCACCATAGGCCGAGATACTGCCGGTCGACAAAACTGATATGAAGATCACCGCGTTCATGATATGAGCTAGAGGTTCCAGTCCAGCGTTGCGGAAGGCTATAACAAATGGTGAAGCATTAACGCCGTCGCCACCGAAGAGGTCCTGGTTGTACGGAGAGACGGTGATGGTGATCATCAAGGAGCCCAGGACGTAGAACAGAGACAAACGGACCCAGATGGACCCGACAGCTCGGGGGACAGCCTTGCGTGGATTATCAGTCTCAGCAGCGACCAAAGCAGCGTTTTCTGAACCACTGAGTGTTAAGGGAAAGGAGTCAGCTAGGTATAGAACAGTAGCAGTCTGGGCAAACTTCAAGACCAATCCTTGCTACCCTGAAGTATAGCCAGATAATAGGGGTCAAGTACCTCATTGCAAAGATACACGTAGGCATAATGGACAAGAATCCTTTGAACCCGTTGATGAACGGCGAGGAGTTCCAGTACCGGAACCCGATCGGACCCTCAGCAGGAGCGCCACCGGCCGAAATGACTAAGGAAGTGAGCCCCGGAACAGGATATTGTGCTGTGCCACAGAGGAACTTGAACCACTTACCGATGCACGAGATGATCACCACAAAGATCCAGCCAAACTTGATAGTAGAGGCTGTAACTTCGACCTCTCCGAAGAATCTCACGGCGACAACGTTGACGGCAATAATAACAATCCAAAAAATAGTGATCCAGGCCGCTGTAGGTACTTTGGTCGTCCAGAAGCTAAGCACAGTAACAACGCCCTGTACATTCAATGATCAGTGGACAGTGTATTCAACACAGCAAGAGCAACACACCTGCAGCTCGTTGGCGATAGTGATCCAGTAGGAGAACCAGTATGCCCAGCCAAGGGAAAAGGCCATTGACCGGTCAATGAAGATCGACGTCCACTGCGTGAACGCGGACGGCAATGGATACATGACTGCCATCTCTCCAATCGAATGACTGACGGCCCAAATCATCGTACAACTGAGGAGATAGCCAATCAGAAGCGCTGCTGGGCCAGCATTGCTTAGAGAAGTTCCACTTCCAAGCCATAATCCCATTCCGATGGAGGAGCCAAGCGCAATCATGGTCAGGTGCCGCGTCGACAACGAGCGGTGCAGATCGGTTTCGGCGCCATGGTCGACGTCAGGAGAGGCCCAGTCGCCAGTGGGCTCGAGATGCTTCTCCTTGGAACTGGATGTCTCGTATGCAGGTGCATTGCTGTGGTCGTCCATCGTGAATGTCCTCGATGGAGAAGGGTGGGTGTACGTGCAAAGAGATGGGGAGAAGGGGAAGAAGACGCGAAGAAAATCACCACGTATAAGATTGGGCGGGCGACGGAAGATTGATATAAGACTTGTCCGTCGAGGTCGTGGAACCTAGTGAGGTCGGCTTGCAGCCTCTGAGAAGCCGAAGTCAATTTGATGAATGATGTGCAGGGGGCAAATTGGAACAACAGATAAGACAAACATACTCAGCCCACTCGCTATGGTTCGCTATCGGGAAGCAGGCGAGCAGGCAGATAAAGAATCTTGTCGCAGCTTCCAGTCAAGTGGTGTTAGGTGGTGTGTCAACATTTGCCCCATCGGCTTGTCCGCTGCGAGCAAGGCCAGCAAAATCTTCTGGAAGACTGGCAGGAGCGTGGATCCTGCGAGACTGATAACCACTGTGAGGCCCATCCAATAGGCGATCACACGGTATCAGAAGGCGCAGGGCCTGTGCCACTCATTGAATGGCTTTCTTGGCCACGGTACAATCAGGAGACAGCTGTTATCGGCTCTAAGTGAGACCGCTCGTGTCGCCAACTCTCCAGCATCTGGGGAATGTTACATCGGCTCGATGGGCTGGCCCAGGTTGGACGGATGACCATCACGGCCAGTCGGGATAGCCACCCGGATGCGGCCATCTCAGCCGTCAAAAGATGAATGCACCCTCACGCTGTGCTCGCGTGGCGTGAATTCAATACCGTCGTAGAGGTGGCGCCAGTCTCATCCCTTGCAGGCGAGAAATGCAAGAGGCATATCGGTCAAAGAAAGACAGCAGCTGGACTCGTTCGACTCAGCCCAAGCTCCATGGAACCTGTCGTCTCCAGCGACTAGAGCAGGTCCGCAATGCGGAGTACAGGATACTCTATTTCTTCAAGATAAGAATAGGACAGAGAATGGGGGCCATCGCGGGCCAGGAGAGGGGCTTCCAGGGCTTATCGGCGGCCAAGCGTAATGCTCAGCCGGTCTGCGGGTGAATCTGACGTGGTGGTGCGAGTCTAACGCACTGGTGCTGCGAACTATAATCAAATGGACCCGCGAGATTAAGCTATCAAATCCATACTGGACCAATTGCAGCACTTGGTGCCGGTGATCGGCGCCGGATTGGCGCGATAGCATCGCTCACTTTTACCCCGGAATGGCGTCAGGACAGATAAACAATTCCCGGATATCGCCGGAGATTGTTCTATCCCCCCTATCCTTTGACCGGTGCATTGTTATGCGTGTGAAACATAACCCCTGTCACCAGCTATTGTCGAGCGAGCGTGCGGCAGGGCAAAAAGATCAGGCAAGCTCATTATCGAGTCCTCGTCTCACTTGAGCCGGATGGTACATCCCCTTGCGTCTGATGAACCTGCACGTGGCGAATAGGTCAATTATCCCTCTGCGCTGCTGGACTGGCTAGACCGAGGCCCTGCGCTGTCGTTCATCGAGGTCCAGCGATCGTCGAGGTAACGGCACGGTCGACCTCCTTAGTCTGGCCGGGAAGCAACTCCGATGCGTTGACTTTCCCACGGTCGCATACACCACTTAACTCGTGAAAACCTCTCGGATAGTGTTTAACGTACATCCGGAAGAGAACCCAGCGGTTTGGGGCCTCCAAATAGTAGGATATTTTTGAAAACCCGTCCGAATCCGGGGTACCGACGACATGGCAGCAGCCCGAATCCAGCACCAGCATCTGATCCCCAGAATTTCCCCAGATCTAGGCCAGAGTCTAACTGCTGCTTTTCCCGCCAATTCATCCATGGGTCCAGAGTTTGTGCTGAGAAATGGTTCACGCATTAGGTTACCAATGGGCGGGGACAGATAATCGAAGGATTAAGCGTCACCAATCGCCTGCGCACGCCTTTGTCGTCCATTTAGGCCTCGAGTGCATGTAGCATGCCTCTGTAGATTGGATGTGAGCAGACCCCTCACCGCTAAGTTGCCACTGTGAAGGAGAAAATGGACACACTCCATCTCTCGAGCGAGATATAGTCAGAAACCTCTGTTCGTATGTATGCTCCCGCAACCGATGAATGCACTTTCCAACGAGGAGAACATCCAAGGTCGTGATCGATGAAGCCTAACGTAGCGTGCTTCCCTGAATACCGGATGGCAGTTGGGTATCTCCTTACATCCACCAGCCTGAGGTCCAGACCAGGCGCTCTTTCCAGGTGCTGAGTAACCCTCCGGTCGGCACAAAGAGAGCAAAGTTCGAGCAATCCTAGACACGACCAGCGCGGGGAAATTGACTGTTCATTTTCGTAGCTCTCAATCAGCTACCGCTGCCTCTACCTCAGGCGCGCTTAAAATGTTGAGCGGTGTTCTCGAGGAGACACAGTTGGTCTCAAGCATTACACAGCACCGGCATGAGAGCAGTTGAGCTTTACTGTCCTTCGGCAAGCTAAGTTGTCGGGTGCGGGAGAAATGCTCGGACGGGTTGTTTTGCTCCTCAAGCCTACAGGCCTTATTTTGGCCATTTATTCAACTTGAATTTGTTCTTATGCACTGAGCATTCTCGGACAGTAGTCTGCAGATCCGAAAACACCGTATTTTCTTGTCTTCGGCGTAGTCCCATCGATAATAAACGCTTTTTCTGACACTCGTGCACGAAGTCTTTCAAGGTCTCAACGGCCAGTTCACCAGTCAGAGGCATATGTACGGTCGGCCGGTTCCACGAAGACCTGTACATGTCAGCCGCTATGAAGTCTTGTCAACGGCAGTAGACGCAACCGACGTTGGTTTTCCGGCTTCTGGTTCAGTGTGAGTTATGTGGGATATTTTGTCATGTGACAATGCTGACCGCGCTGTTTGTAACAGATCAGGTCCCCGTTTCAGCGCTTCAGATCATCTCGATTGATTTGAGTATTATCCTCATGTGAATGCAATCGAACACCCTTCTGATATGGGCGAGCGCACTCCGGGTACATTGAAATCACAATACCGTTGCGAGATGGAGAATTTCAGTACTTCTTTGCCGTGTCACCAACCGATTTCCGGAATCGGATTGCAGTAAAAGATACGTTGCTAGTCATGGGGAGCAATAAGGCACGTTTCGACAGTGCACATTGTGTGTTGACGACGGAGGCCCCAGAGAAGAAGCGTGGTCCCATGGCGTGCGCGGATTAGACTACATCAGACGAAGATGTTCCTAGAATCGATCGGGGTGGCCTTCTCTCGATCGGATAGGTGCTTAGGAGCCTGAGATCACTATAGATTGGTGGAATGTATGAGTCAGTCCCAGTGGAATTCATCAATTACTCTTCGCATGACTGGAGAGAGCTTACTAAGAGACCCTTCACCACACTGACACGCGCATTGACCAGAGGTTGAGCGACAGCAATCGATCTGACATCTTGGGGTCGTGATTACCTCTTGCTGTGCGTCCTCTCTGTCCAGCCTGTCGCTACGAGCCGGGACCTGGCACCATCTCGAATGAGGATCTCTCAGGGGCCCAACACCACACTGAGGCAGGCCTGCCCAGCCGGATAATAAGAACATATCAGTGTACCGCTTGCAGCAAGACCTAGATCACTCTGATCAGGCAAAACTGGACGCTGATACGTGAGTGGCACGGGTCCGATCAGCCCGATTCGGAAGACTTTCCAAAGCTGCTGGCCGAGAACGCCTGCATCGGACAATAAGTCGTGAATCGCGGAGATTGCAGCATCACGCACTTCGGCTACCACAATTAACCGGCTGTGACCATCGCGGACTGGGGTTTGACCGTGTTCACGTGGAAAGAGCAGCGCAGCTGAACGAGCCGTTGCCGGCTCAGACTTTCGGTAACGCGTCCTGTCGCCGAAATTCGGCTGTCGTATACGCCGGTCTTGGTGGCAGCCCAAGCCTCACAAGGCTACAATTAATCGAAGACGAGTGAAGAAACGGGGTTTCGCCGCCATTGATTTTGATTGTTTTGGTGAGACTATGATGGAGAGGCTTGACGGTGGCGTCAGAGGGTCTCTGGTTGGCACCAATCAGCCATATCGACGCTACATAGATGACCACGCCCAGCCAGGCCGCCAGGCGATGGTCAGCATAGCGCAACGGAAGAGGCTTCGGGTGGGCGTCAGACAAGCCTCCATAGACCGGCTCGTGCCGAAATTGACAACACGCGTTGTTCAAGACGATTGAGTGCTCGGGAGGAGTTGACAACCGTATGATAGACCATGAGAGTAGTTCTGAATGACCATCCAAAGATATTCTTCGACAGGTGGAATGAAAATTATCCTCCGTCAGGCATGCGGAGTAGGTATTTGGCAGGAGTCAAGGAAGAGGGTCTACCCGAGCGTCGGTTAAAATGAGGGGAATCAGGGAAATCAGGACGTGTTCAACACGAAGAAGGAAATTTCCGAGGCAGAAATGAACCGACTGGACTGGGCAGGAAACACGGCCTCCACCGAGACTGGGGAAAAACCGCTCCTCCAGGCGGGTCTGATTCGTTCCCCAACCGAAATCCCCGGACCTCCGCATTCCCTGCCGATGATCTTTACTCTTTGAAGTTATCCATCCCCCCATGCAGGTCTCGCACCACCCTCCATCCGGGACACCTGCAACACTTGCAAGTTATCTTCTTCCCTGTCTTCTCGCCCGCGAGTGACGCCATGACGTACGGGCCAATTGCACGAGTCCGGGATGGACGTTACTTCGGCACTGGGTCGTGCATCGGTATATAAGCCCCGTCCGGGGCCCCCGAGTCGGCTCTCCGCATCCCTATCCCGGTTGTACTTCAGGTAGTCCGGTCTGGTTCGTTGCTCACCATGTATCGCATTACAAACATCTACAGTATGGTCTCCTTCGATGCTGTCAATAAGGTGCCACGGAACTGACTTGTGCCTAGTCCTTGCCGCGTTAGGCACCATCGGTGGTGCATTGTTCGGCTTCGATGTCAGGTACGACCGCTCTCCTGCTCCGATGTATGAGGACACACATTGACCCTGTTGAATAGTTCCATGAGTGCCTGGATTGGCACCGACCAATATTTAGACTATTTTAATCATCCAGACAGCAACTTGCAAGGAGGTGTAGGTCTTCTGTGTACAAGCCGAACACCTGTGGGTTACGCTGACGATCCTTCTGCTAGATTACTGCTTCCATGTCTGCTGGATCTTTCGCCGGCGCACTCGCAGCGGGTTTCCTTTCGGATTGCCTTGGCCGTCGCTATTCTCTCGTTATCGCTTGTTGCATTTGGATTGTCGGGGCAGCTATCCAATGTTCTGCTCAAAACGTTGCACATCTGGTCGTTGGTCGGGTCATCAGTGGGTTGGCTGGTGAGCACCCTCTCCCATTGGCACGGGTACTCTGTGCTAACAGTCTCCAGTCGGTATCACGTCTTCTCAAGTCTGTGTCTATCTCGCTGAACTGGCCCCTGCACGCATCCGAGGCCGGATTGTGGGCATCCAACAATGGGCCATCGAATGGGGTATTCTGATCATGTACCTGATCTCATACGGCTGCGGCCAGGGTATTTCTGGTCCCGCTTCCTTCCGCGTGGCTTGGGGTATCCAGGGGGTTCCTGCATTGATCCTTCTTGTCGCCTTGCCTTTCTTCCCCGAATCGCCCCGTTGGTTGGCCAGCAAGGAACGGTGGGAAGAGGCTTTAGACACATTGGCCGCGATCCATGGCAAAGGAAATCGCAGCGATCCCGTTGTCCAGGCTGAGTATGAGGAGGTGCAAGAGGCCGTGCGGGTTGCCCAGGAAGCTAAGGACGTTTCATTCTTGGCCCTGTTTGGCCCGAAGATCTGGAAGCGGACTGTTTGTGGTGTGAGCGCGCAGGTCTGGCAGCAATTGCTCGGAGGCAACGTTGCTATGTACTATGTCGTCTATGTCTTTGACATGGCAGGAATGGTAAGAAATGATGCGGATGGTTGGGGAATTTAGAGCTAACGCGAACAACAGACCGGCAACACCACCCTGTACTCGTCAGCAATCCAATATGTTATTTTCCTGGTGACGACCGGTGTCATTCTGCCATACATCGATCGGATTGGTCGACGACCTCTGTTGATGACCGGTTCCATCCTGTGCATGGCCCTCCACTTTGCGATTGCGGGTATCATGGCCAGCTACGGTCACCACGTCGACTCAGTGGATGGCAACTCGAATCTGAAGTGGTCGATCACCGGTGCCCCTGGTAAGGGTGTCATCGCTTGTTCATACATCTTCGTTGGTATCTATGGTCTCACTTGGGTAAGTAGACAGCCTCTCGCAAATGCCGAACCATTCTGACAATGAATAGGCCCCTGCTGGATGGATTTACGCCTCGGAGGTGTTCCCCCTCAAGTACCGCGCCAAGGGTGTCGGATTGTCGGCCGCGGGTAACTGGATCTTCAACTTCGCGCTAGCCTACTTTGTGTCGCCGGCGTTCACGAACATCCAGTGGAAGACGTATATCATTTTCGGCGTCTTCTGCACAGTCATGACCATCCACATCTTCTTCACCTTCCCGGAGACAGCTGGTCGTTCTTTGGAGGATATCGACTTAATGTTCGAGGCTAACTTGCCGGCCTGGAAGACATCGCGGCTGCCCGACCGATTCGGCGATGAGATTGAGCGTCAGCGACAGAAGACTGGCGGGGCGGAGGCAGGGGAGAAAGGAGTGGAGACGGCGCATGATGAGATGGTCTAAGCGGGGGAGATGCCCTGATGAGCTAGACTCATTAGAATTGATAGATCAAGACGTGTACCTAGCGCGAATAAGAAACGTCGCCGTGTCTCATCCTGCTGCAAGAGACTGTTTCTTGTCACTCACTGCCGGCGGTGTGGTCATGACATCATCGCAGTGGTCGACCGATGTTCTGGATTGAAAAATCGTATCATTTCGCATTTGCGGCGAAATTGGGAGACAGAAAGTGTAGTAGTATGCTTACAGCTCTGTTGCCTGAGACATGATCAATCACAATCCTGGTGCTTTGCGTGCACGTTGAGCATGTGGATTGTTGTAAGTGCAAGTTGCTGAGTAGTTACTGGCTCTGCAGTTGCCTGTCCACCATGATACGTGGAGAAATATTTGGCCTAGCACGCGTGACCGTGACTAGACCCTTTCCGGTCATCCCGTGTTAGACCCGTGATTTGCTGCCTCAGGCATTAAGATATTCAGGCTGCCAGGCCGCGATATGGGGCGGATTAGGAAATGCCTCCCGGGCGTCCCGTCAGTGCGCCAGCGCAACTCGCTGTAGAGTACATAGCAATGCGGGCCGTCTTCCTCTTTTCTCAATATACCTAGTACGACCAGTCCCATATTCACTAGGATATGTAACTCTACCCTGCTTCTACTCCTTGCTTCTGGTTCTTTTATTGACCCTCGGTGACTGTACTGCTATTTAGCATGGTGGTATGCTGCGTCCTGTGCCTTTTCAATATATATGTTGTCGGTGTATGAGCCGGTTGCAGTTGGGAAAGCGCAGGGCCACCATATGCGGAGGTACTGCAAATAGAATGTATTCGAGGTTCTTGCCGACCGCTCCAGTTTGGAAGAGATCATCTTGCAACCCCACATGATCTCTTGGATTGGCGAAAATTGCGAATCGCAGACAGCAGTGGCCGGACCCTTCGATTTTGCCGTCCAAGAAGGGTAGTGGGGCCCGCGAAGGAAGTGATCGATTCAGGTCTAGGAGAGTCTTTAACTCAGTTAACCTTCGTCGGTGATGTCACTGGCCAGTAATCCGATGAGGACTTCAGGCCTGCGATGGCGAACACCAGATGACCCTCTCCATCAATGCATATGTTTTCGAGAGGAGTCTGCTTTCCTTGCCTCGACTGACTCAAGAGGGATTCCTTCCACCTCACCCACGAGTAATCCTCTTGAGTGCTCCCACTTTCCCACTGCTGCGAGAGTCCCACATGCCCCACATCTCCCACTTGGATGCTGAATGACTTCTTACTTCAGCCCTCTCGACCCCAGCTCTTTTCAACCTGGATTTGACTCTGCTCCGAGTCAGAAATCTCACCCTCAAAGTGGTCAACATCCTTATATCTGGCAGAATCGACCTTTTAGAATCAGCGCGCGCCATCGACAACAGCTTCAATTCGCCTCGCAGATCCGACATTGGGAAACGATCCCGACTCGCTGCCTGATATTCCAGGCCGCAAGATGTCGCTGTCGAGCTCGACCAAGCACTCCATTAACGGAGAAAGTGAAGATGACCGTCCACAGGACTCCGACCTCACGCGAACCGAATCCATGCGCTCGGCCGCAGATCACTGGAATCCAATCCACGAGCTCATCTTTGTGTTGGTGGTATGCATGGCACAGTTCATGACCCAAGCCGCGTTGGGAGTGTGTCTTGCACCGCTGGACATCATCGGCGATGGACTCAACATCACGCAGCCAGGCATTCTGAGCTGGCTGATTGCAGGCTACTCGCTCACCGTCGGCACTTTCATTCTCTTCTTTGGCCGACTGGGCGATCTCTTCGGGTACCGCCTCATGTTCATCATCGGCTTCCTGTGGTTCGCGCTCTGGTCCATGGTCGCCGGCGTGAGCGTCTACTCCAATTATATCCTCTTCATCTTCGCACGCACACTCCAAGGCCTGGGCCCTGCCATGCTGCTTCCCAACGGCTTGGCCATCCTCGGTGCTACTTACCGCCCTGGCAAGAAGAAGCATATGGTCTTCGCTCTTTTCGGTGCTATGGCCCCCAACGGCTCCGTCATCGGCGCTATCTTCGCCGCCGTCTTCGCCCAACTCGCCTGGTGGCCGTGGATCTGGTGGTCGATGGCCATCTGGTGCTTCGTGCTGGCTATCCTGGGCATCTACGCCATCCCGCCCGAGCCCAGAGATCCGCGCATCGGCACCCTCTCCTTCCGCGCCCTCTGCGCCGAGATGGACCTCATCGGCGCAACCCTGGGCGTCACGGGTCTCGTCCTCATCAACATCGCCTGGAACCAAGCCCCTGTCGTCGGCTGGGAGCAGCCCTACGTATACATTCTGCTGATCATCGGCCTGTTGATCATTGCCGGCTTCTTCGTGTGGGAGATCCGCTTCTCGAGTAATCCGCTCATCCCTTTCCACGCCCTGAATGCGGACGTCTCGTTTATTCTTGGTTGCATCGCCTGCGGCTGGGCCAGTTTCGGCATCTGGATCTACTACTTTTGGCGGTTCTTAGAGGACATCCGCGGAGTGCATCCCATCCTTGCGTCCGTGCAGTTCCTCCCGCCCACGGTTATGGGGATCATCGCTGCGTTCTCGACAGGCCACCTGTTGAGTCGCCTGCACCCCGGGTGGATCATGGTCATGGCCATGGTGGCGTTCACTCTGGGCAATGTGTTCTCAGCTATTATGCCCGTGCATCAGACGTACTGGGCGCTCTCGTTCGTTACGCTCATCGTCATCCCCTTCGGGATGGACATGTCCTTCCCTGCTGCGACGGTTGTGCTGAGCGACGCCGTGGGCAGAGAGCACCAGGGCGTTGCGGCGTCACTGGTGTGCACGATCGTGAATTACAGTATCTCGTTAGGTCTAGGATTCGCGGGAACCGTCGAGGTGCATGTCAACCACGGCGGGAAGACGTTCCATGACACGTTGGTTGGGTACCGCGGCGCATTTTATATGGGGATCGGTTTAGGCGGGTTGGGCCTGTTGACGAGTATAGTATATGTGCTTCACACCCTAAAGAAGGGGCGGCGCGGGGGAAAAGGGGTGGAAGATGCTTAATCTTTGTTTCATTCCCTTCTCCCAACCTTTCGGATCATTGCAGCTTAAAAGTATACATACATACCAGGTATAGGGTATAGACTTAATAGACTCATTTCAATCGATCAATCCCATTGTCAGGGAATGAAGTGTGAATGAACATTCCCCTATTCCCCCAGAAACCCTTCAATGATGTCTAAGTAGTGACCGTCCCTGGGGAAATATGATAAGCAAGGCTCGACCTCCATGATCTTGGCCCCCCTGAATCTGACGTGCCAAACGAGAGCGAGACTGGCGCTAGGAATGGCAGAATCCGCGATAGAGCTGTTGGACTGCGGAGTAGTGCGTACTTAGACTCGACCAGATCAGCACTTTAAGGGCCGCTGTTGCATAAGAGTTCGATGCAGGCTATATTCAAAAAGCGAGAGAAACCAACCTGTTATCGATCATTTGTGTAGGGAAATGTAAGAAAACGAGGGTATAGACTTTCATAGGACCGGCTCGGGGCATCCTGTTTGTACTTGTCGATCTCCCAATCGCTTATTTGATTATCTCGTGGCGGCCGATCCGAATAGGAGGAGTCTGCATGATGGCATCACAAGCATTCTGAAGAGCGGATCATCTGACTGATTATTTTCATAGCGTGTGATTCTGCTGATGATGCGCGGGACTTCGTTCTTGCTCATGCAACAGGCAATAGCATAGAAGTCATCATAGCGCTCAGAATTTGTTCCTGCTCGTGTAACGGGCACTACTCGAAGACTCATCATAGCGCTCAGTTCTCGTCCTTGCTGGTGCAACGGGCAATGCTTTAAAGATCCTGATAGCGCTCAGACTTCACTCTCGCTCGTGCAACAGACATGCACTTTAACAATTATCATGACGCTTGATCCTGCCGACACGCGGGACCTCTTTCATGTTGCTTGTGGACTGGCTAATCGCTGGAACAATCGACAATCGTCATGGCGCTCGAACCTGCCGACACGCGGAACCTGTCCTTGCTTCTAGATTAGGCACTGGTTAACCCGTCGATCCCATTTAGCAAGGCTGCCTTTCTTCCGTTTGTGTCCCAAGACCTTGGGGTGGTAGGTAAACACCCCAGACAGATAGAAGCCCCTCAGCCCAAAGGCATATTGGGAGGACTGGAGTTCGTGCCTCACAAGACTGTCCATACCGCCCGAGTAGACACTCCTTGGACCTGACTGCTGGTTCCCGCGACACCGCCATAAACGAGTAATCAGAGTGAGAGCAATTCATCATTTCATCCACCCGTTTCCAAATCTTGGAGGGTGGTTGGTTAACCATGCACACCCTGGACAGCTAGAAGGCCCTCAGCCTTAAGGCATCGGGAGGACCGGAGTCCGTACCTCACTAAACTGTCCACCGCGTACGCGGACCCTCCGTGGCCTTGGTCAAATAGTCCCGTGACATCACCCAGAAACGAGTGATCAAACTCAGCCTTTCTTTCTCTTGTATCCTAAGATTTTGGGGGCGGCTGGTCAGTCTTGCACACCCCCGACAGCGAGAAGCCCCTCATCCCGAAGGCCTGTTGGGAGGACCGAAGTCCGCGCCTCACAAGTGCTGTCCACCACGGGAGCAGTCCCCCACTGGGCCTGGTTACCTCCCGTGGCCGCGACCTTCGCGAAGAAACCAGTAAGCATGGTGGAGTAGGGCTAAGTGTATCCAATGTCAGTACTCGTACAATGACAACGCAATAGGTAGACTTGGAGTAGCGGTATTGGGTGCCGTGCTCGTGCCTATTCGGTAGATAGGGGACCCCTAGAACTGTTCCACAAGGCAGTCTGTCAGTCGTTGAGTTCAATTTGAGGCTCCGATGTGACAAGAACCAGAGATCTTAATAGTGTGGCTGTACATACGTGGGCTTTGCTTCAATCGTAACGCGACCGAGTAGGAAAGTCCAAGTTGCACCCCGTTGACGAAGGAACTTGGGACTCGGAACGATGGATCTGAAGGATGTTCTCGAGCCGGATTTGAGAGAAAAACGGTACCTAAAGTTGCGGGGCTGACAAGATTAGTTGGCAGCAACTTCTAGAAGACAGTGCAAAAAGTGTAAGATCATGGGACGATGGGAAGGCTCATAAAAATACAGGAACCGCTTTTCCTGACCAGATGTCTGTGCTAATGGAAGTATTGATTGTGGAAAGGTTGAATGATGTATTTGACAGGAAAGGACGCCAGGACATGAAGAGAGGTTGAATCGGGAAAGATTGTGTGGAAGTCCAAGGTGGAAGAACGAGAAAATGGAAGGAAAAGAACGTACCTGGAGGACTTACTTTACATGCACTATTCAGGTTTATCCATGAGACATGGTAACTTTTCAATAGAAGTGAGTTAGGCAGGTCTGATATGACGTGTTGAGCAGCCTTTTACCTTGTCAATCGATTTGGCAACTGACACGGGTTGGGCAAAGGACCTTTGCATGGCTTACTGGTGGATGTGACACTCTCTCTTAGGATACTCGGACATATCTAACCATAATATTAGCAGCAGGAAGAGGTTAAGTATGTGCCTTTGAATTGACTGGGTCTGGACGTGGAGGCGACTCCACGAAATGCTCACATGGCTCGAATCGCATACAGGTGTAGCGACAGGCTGGTTAGAATTCAGAATCGAGGATGTGGAACCGTGTGTATCAAGCTTAAAGCACGCGTTAGTCACGATCTTAAGTCAGTGATGCTCTTGAGAACGATCTGATGCTCGGAGTGAGAAGAGGCCGGTGGTCACTTAGCTGCACAGCTGTCTTCGTCGCGCTGTAGGACTCGATAGATGGAGGTCATAGTTGCAGCTCGGAAAATTCAAAGGACTCGGTGTATTTGGGCATATAGTGGATGGGAAGAAGAGATGGAGCAGTATAAGCACATGATGGGGAAAGGTGAGAGGGGAGAGATGAGAGGGGAGAGATGCGAGCAGGGGGGAGTTTGAGTCTGAGAATCCGTAAGTAGTGAGTAGTGAGATGTTGCGGACTCAGTATCGAAGAACCATTCGAGGCGGTGAGCAATATGCCACACTCAGGACCTCGTCACAATGGACTTGGTGATATCAGGGATGAATAGCAATGAGAGCGATCAGGGATGGGCGGGAGCAGTGATGTAAAGTATCACACAGTAAATCATTCAAAGACAGATCAGGTGCTCATGATCATGGAATCTACTCAGAAGAGCAACCAGCAGCAAATGCGCTGCCAGAACATACAATCGAAACTGACTACTTGGAGAATGAGGATCGTTAGACATAGCATGTACGGATACCTTCCACTACAAAGCCCATATGACTGTCAAGATAATCCGGTCATGCACCCCAACAGGTACGATGAATAGAGCAGTGGAAGTCCAGAGCATCAACCGCGCTTGACGCCAGACGATGCGACCGCCGCGGGGAATTGGGCTCCGCAACCTAGTCAGGAGTCGAGTTCAGGAACCGCCCAATCGGACTGACAAGGCGCAAAAGGATTACGGGGCAGCCTTTCCAGTTCCGTGGGATATCCACTCTTGTGGTGTTGTTCAGACCAGAGCCGAGGCAGTGTTGGTCCGAGCGAATTTGGGATTCAAGCGCGCCATGGCTATCAATGAGGCGGGGGCAGTGCTCTTATCTGCGTTTCTCGGAGAGGGGCAAGAAAAATCAGGGACATAGCCCCTCTCATGCAGTGCATATCGTGGAATTACGCCACGCGATCGCTTGCCTGGTTGGTCGCATGAATTGGATGACTACATCTAGTATACCTAAATAAGGTATTGGAGTAAGCCTCACAAGACGAGCCACATCAACAGGAACAAAATACAGTGGACATCATACCTTACTACTACTATGTAACCTAGATAGGTAAGTAGCAAGTTGGCCGAGGCGAGGATCCCCGGGGAAATGATCGGCAGCCACCTTGACGAATATGATAGGCCCAGCGCAGCCAAGCCAGATCACCACATCCGCCTAATGCGGCCCGGCGGTTTTGGTGCAGTGCCGCATCTCCAGACATCCCCTCCACCTCATCCTCCTAACAGGCCGCCTGCTGGTCCTTGCCCTGCTGTTTCAACTTGTCCGTGTTTCAGAGTATAGGAAAGACATTGGTTGTGGTTTTCGAGGCTTGAGTCAGCTTCATGGACTCGTTGGTTCCTCGAAAGTCGTTCTCCTGGAGGTGTGGCCATTGCACCGTCCACCTTCTTCATGTTGGGCTGAAGTGGCGGTGAATCTATGGCTTCACTTTGACAACCGACGGGGAAAAGAACCAACCACTCACTTCACTACCTGTCGCCCTGTCATAGGTCTCCAACTCAGTGCTATCGACGATAGCCTGCCTGGCTTCACCTCGGCGATTTTCGCTGCCCAGCGAACGTCTGACACAGTATAATAACCATGGTCCACGGCCAACAATCCCCAGACTTAATTCTCCTACACACACTTGACTGACTGTTGAAAGATCCGAACTTGTGATTCTTTAACACCCTCCACATGCTTCCAATCGTCGTGAAGCTGCTATCACCACTACTCAAACCTTTGCGCAGCATGGACTGCTCGATGACTCGCCCATCGGCGACATCTCGATTTCCTTTCTTCCCGTTCTCGCTATGGTCGAAGAAGCCACAGCAATCAGTATCAACACAAACACAGACACAGGCTCAGACCCAGACACAAACCCCACAATCAGCGAAGATGCGACCGCAGCTTCAGATTCAGACCTCAACACCGACACAAACCCAGCTTCCACCCTCCCCACCCGATACACCCGTCATGGTCGAACACCCTCAGCAAACCGCTGAGGAGCTGGCGGAGCGCGACCACCAGGATCGCGAAACTGCGCGACAGGAAGCTCTTGACGAGCTAGACAGTCTTGTCGGCCACGAGAACGTCAAGCGCCAGTTGCGCGGTGTGCAGACTTGGGTGCAAATCTGTCGGCGACACGGTCGTGACCCCAAAAACGAATGGTACAACATGGCCTGTGTGGGTAATCCAGGCACGGGTGAGTTGTCACTTATCATCTGGTTGAGTCGTTCGAGTTGTCGCTGACCCTTCTAGGCAAAACTAC